ATAACAGCAGAAGTTTATTATCATCAATGTCACTCATCGAACAGCTCTCTTCAATAACAATATTTGGTGAAATTTCATCATTACTCATAGCAGAAACTGGTTCATTTATATTGGATTTAACAGGCTGTGTAACTGGGCGTTCCTCCACAATAAGTGAGTTCTGGGAGATGGCTGGTCCAATCATCAACTCTGCTTGCTCCTTGAAATGTTCAATTTCCCTCTGATAAATTTTATTTTCAGCCTCCAATATTCTGATGGAGTCAATAATATTACGATTTACTTCCATAAGCTCCTGGTATTGTTTATTCGCTTTATTCAACTCCTCTTGCATAATAACCTTTTCTGAGGCGAAAACATTGTTTTCCTCGTTCAATTTAACTATGTCCAATTTCAATTTATTCATACTATCATTCAGTTCATTAATTTTCTCTATACTTCGTTGTTCGTCCTCAAATATATCGTTCTCAAAATCTTGGGTGCGTCTTTCCATTCTTTTGATATGTAATTGCTTGGCTCTAAGCTCTTGTTTAAGCTCCAAAATTTCCTGATTCATTTCTTGAAATTGTTTTTCTCTATCTGTCTCTGCTTTTTCAATTAACAGATCTTTCTCAGCACATTCTTCAGAGCAATATATGGTATTTCTATAAATTACTCTTACTGATTTATATCTTTCCATACATGATGGATGGAACACTCCTAGACATGATTTACAACAAAAACTATTGACATCTTTTTTCTTGCAACATTTCAATCTATAATCCATCATTCGAAACAAAAGATAATAAGGTTGTCAGTGCGAGAACTCTCCTACTTTGTATTCTATGCTATCTTTATAATTACTGATAACAATAGGCTTCAATAAAGATTAGAAATAAACAATTTTTTTTTTAATTTGGTCCTAGCATTTCCAATCACAGAAAATCATTACCTGATTTTATTGATTTTTCATGTGAATTCCATTGGAAATTCATATACTAATACACTGTTCGATTCTACGTTTTTCGTGGCACACACCAGTATAAGTCAAAACTGTAATTTTCCACTTTTTCTATACAAAAATACACAAAAAGACGGGACCGATTTGATGGTGCGGAATGTCTGGTTTATGGTTCGAAGGAGAAACTAACATTCTATTTTCATAAGTGCGAGAAAGAGGGCCTGGTCTCATTCTGGAACCAAACCAATTCTATAGCACATTATTATCGTTATTAGTCTAGAGAGAGAGAGTGTTCAATGGTCGAAGGGATGTACACTGGAGTGTACTATGGCACGCAACGATCAGAATCGAATCAAATTCTGTATTCGGATAGATTCAAATTGTCTCACACTACAGTGTATGCCAGGACTGAAAGGGTTATTATTTAGGTATAATCGAGGGTTATGGTGGTAGTGATTTTTGAAAAATTACAATAGACTACTGTGAAATAAATCACCATTGAAAATTTTGGGCACTATATTATGATTTCCAATAAATGGTTTACTTACTGAAAGCTTTGATATTTGCTGGTAACTGATTATAAATGTCGGCTACTTTGTAGGAAAAACTGTTCATTTATTCATTTATCAACAAGCAATTATTGCCCAATTAAAAGTTCCTGTTTCTAAAAAGTTCAGAGCTATGGGAGGGGATTGTTTAAGAAACTGAAATATCTAATAATATGTCTAAGTTTCTGGGCATGGGCTATGCCTCCAAACTCCATCATTTCATACAAATATCTGGGTTTCATTCATAGTTAGCCACTGTATGTTTCTCAAGTAGGTATGGAGTTATATAGTTTCTATGTGGGATTTGTAAGGCAAAACAAACACAAGAGTTCTGAATTTTTTGTAGACTTCTTGCATTTTCAGCACACAAACAAGGACCATATAGGTAAGGCGTCTGAGTTCTTAATCTTTGTACTTTAAGCAGTGATGTTAGTGTGTCATGACCAGCGCGCATGACGGCGGGTCATGACCGTCACGTCACATTCAATGGCCATTTTACTGCTTAGTGTGGAAATGTGCAGTAAAGTAGACTGCATAGTATGCGGTAAAGTAGATTTGGTGTTTAAGTACACTCAAAAATCCCTTCTCGTTCAGAAATTTCAATAATGCCTTCTTTGGGAGATATAGATGCCCATTGTTCATAGGTATAATTTTGTACCTAACACATAAGTACGGAAATGCATTTACCGACGTTTTAGGATGAAGTATTACTTCTGCATTTGTCATGTGAATAACTATTATCCTTTGGATAGATTTGTTGAACTATTAATGTATGTTTTTGATAATAATTATTTTCAATATCAGGACAATTTTTATAAACAAATATATGGTCTAGGGATGGGTAATTGTTTATCACCAGTCTGTTCAGATTTAGTGATGCAAGAACTGCAAGACCAATCTATTGAAAAACTTCCTTTTCAATTAGCGTTTTATAAGAGATACATAGATGACATAATAACTGCAATTCCCAAAAATCAAGAGCAGGCTGTACTAGACATATTTAATAGTTACCATCCTAGAATACAGTTTACAATAGAAAAAGAGAGGGACAACAAGATCGCATTTCTTGATGTGCTTTTGGTAAGACAGAAGCAAATTATAGAAACTGACTGGTACCATAAACCAACCTTTTCAGAAAGATTTCTTAATTATTTATCTGAACACCCACACAAGATAAATATAATTAATAATCTTAAAAGTAGAGCAATGTCACTCTCATCAAACAAGTTCCATAAAAAAAATCTGAGGTACATAGAGAGTATGTTGATTAAAAATAACTACCCAGTATCATTAATTAAAAAAATTCTTAATCAATGTAATGCAGTAAAAACCACAAAACAAAAAGAATTGGAAATTTATTGCAAACTACCCTATATTAAAACTTTGTCTGAACAAATACAAGGCGCATTTCGAGGTAAAGTTACTAAAAAGAAAGAAAAACTTAAAATTGCATTTAAATGCCAAAATACAATTAAAAACCGATTCTTTTCGAATCTAAAATCTAGCACAAGGAAAGAACTAAAATCAAACGTAGTTTATAATATTCCTTGCTCCCAATGCAGTAAGAGCTATGTTGGACAGACTGGTAGATACTTACAACAAAGAGTGAAAGAGCACAAAAATGACCAAAAGAACTATCTTTCAAAATCTAATCCAACAGCCTTAGTGGAACATAAGTTACAAACTGGGCATAATGTTGATTTTGACAATGTAACCATCTTACAAACACAATCTAATTATAAAAAAAGATTGATTGCAGAAATGATCGAGATTCAGAAAAATAAAAGTTGCGTAAACAAACGAACTGATGTAGAAAATCTGAGTACGTCATATTTCAATATTATTAATAAAATAAAATAACGTCACTGTAATTTTGGTTGTTTTTTGTTCTCGTTCTCTTTCTTTCATGAATTCCTGTGTGTTTTTGGTTTTTTTTCCCTAGCTTATAGCGGCACCATTTCAGTGTAGTTTGGTACCGGCATGCATTGATTATATGTACTACCTGATTTTAATTTAAGAAAAAAAAAAAAAAAGTAACAACAATAACTTTAGAGTTACCAGTTTTAATATTTCTGTTTTTGTTCTTGATAATTTTAAATGTTATGTCTACAGTGTTTGTCTAACGTGTTACGGCTTGTGTGTTTTTTGAATTCCGTAATTTACATAATATAATGATGATGTTCCAAAGACAAAAAAACTTTTGTAATACCTATAAGATCTGTGATACAATTATTTTAATGACAAGGAAAGTTAATTTTTAAATGTAAGTAGTAGTCAGTATGTTCCTAATGTCCACCTTTTAATTATTTATTTATTTATTAAATTTTTCACGTCTTTTGTAGTGTCCTGAGGATGCAAATAAATTTTGCGAAACGTCGACAATTTTGAAAAAAACAAACTTCCGTTGGTGTTTTTTTTTTCCGATCCTACCCCAATCAAAACAAAGCAAAATAACTATTATCTTTGTTATTTTATTTTACATGCTAGGCTAGGAATGCTAGGCTTATTTACCTACCTATTTTGTAATTTGTAGAAATTTATTCTGTTCTGAAATCCTTAATAATTTGTCAAAACGTTATAATCATTAAGGACCGAGCTTATTTATAGTCGTTCCTTGAATCTTCCTTGGAGTCGCGAGTTTAGAATGGATACTTGCTATTCCTCTGACCTTGCTACTATTTGACAAGTTAGTCATGTGAATTCTAAACGTTCAAGGCTTCTTTAGGTTCTGAGGAAACCTCAAGGACCGACTATAAATTCGGCCCTAAAATTGACTATCCCTATTTTTAACCCATCTTTGAGTTAATAGACGATAGACTGTAGGAAGTAGCGTTTTAAATTGAAATAATTACTATGAACTATGACCATGGTCATGACCGTCATGACGCAAATGAGCGTCACGATTTTAAATGACCGTCATTTTACATCACTGACTTTAAGATATGTAATTTTTTGAATTATAAAGACTTTTACTTAGTCTAAGAAAAAATGATCTACTTTGGTTTGACATTTGTCTTGCATAATAATTCAGTTTTTTGTCCATGATGAGATCCAAAATTTTTAATACGCTCACTTAAATGTTATGACTTCGCCGTTCAAACTAAGCTGACCAGATAAGAAATCTTTCTTACTCTTTTTACCTTCATGCCATTTGCGTAACAATGAACTCCACAATACTTTATACTGCGGTTTAAGGCTATAATGAATAAATTAAAAAGCAATGGACCCAAAATTGAATCCTGTGGGACGCCCTTCTGCACAACCAAATCTTGAGACAGCAATCAGGTTTGTTCCTCAATTATTTGATTAACCAGATACCATTTTTATCATCCCAATCATAATGTTGTGTAAGGTGTGCAAAACCATAATTCCAAAAAATGCCGCGTCTATAAAATGTTTCACATGTCTGGAATGGGTCCACAAAAAGTGTTGTGGCCTCTCCAATGAGGAATTTAATAGGTATGCAGTAGGGATTAAAAAAAACAAACTTCAATGGCATTGTCAGCTCTGCGTAGCGGAAACATCTGTTGTAGAGGGCGATGATGACGCATGTGTTGATCTCGGCGATGAAAATGGAACCGTCAATATCAAAAATTTGGAAGCTCTTTTTAGCAAATATTTTACGCCATTTCGTCAGGAGGTTGATGTTAAACTCTGCTCGATTCAGCAAAGACTTGACTTGTTGGTTGCCGAAAATATGAGTCTGAAGGATGAAAATACCTTACTTAATACCAAGGTTAGCAAGCTTGAATCTGATGTGGCCTCTCTCAAGGGCCACCAGGTGTCAGTGATGCCTTCTGATAACTTGGAGGGTGTTGTCTCAGAATTGAACGATCGACAGACTAGGCTGAGAAATGTTATGATTTTTGGACAAAAGGAGGCACAATCCCAGGAAACAGACGAACGCTCTGAGCTTGATTTGGGCATTGTGAAAGACATAGTCAATGTGACATGCCCAGATAATCCTGTTACCATCACAAAGGTTTTTCGACTGGGACGTATTAACAATGAAAGGCCAAGACCAATTAAGGTCGTCTTCTCTACACAGCAAGATGCGCTTACAGTAATCCAGGGTTCAAAACGTTTAAAAGGTAATGAAGCATACAGGCAGGTTGCAGTCAGTTTTGACCGCACTCCCAAGCAAATTGCTGAGTATAAAGGTTTAAAGGAACAATTGAATTCAAGGATAGCTCGAGGCGAAACAAACCTGAAAATCCGTTATGTAAAGGGGGTTCCTAAAATTGTTGAAAATTTAAACGGTTAGTGCCCAACAGTTCAGACTGTTCAGAGAGCCTTGTTATTGCCTATCAAAATGTTCGAGGACTTAATTCAAAGATTGACACTTTCTATTCTTCTGTTAGCGATAGTGAGTTTGATGTGGTAGCATTATCTGAAACCTGGCTTAGTTCTAATGTGAAAGATAGTGAGCTATTTAATGATGATTATCAAGTATTTAGGAAGGATCGGGATCTTGCTGCAACTGGCCGTGAGAGTGGGGGTGGTGTTTTACTAGCTATAAAAAATACTGTGAAAAGTGAGGCCATTCAAATGCCATTTTTAAAGCAGAACTTCCCAGAAATTGACTTTATTATGAACCGATGTGTGATATCCCATAGAGTATTGTTTATTTTAGTTATTTATATTCCGCCATCCTTACCTATAGAAACTGTTGAATTATTTTTTGAATCATTAGAACAATTTGAGCAATTATTTAATAAAAATATCTTGGCTTTGGGAGATTTTAATAATCCAGGTTTTGTTGATTTTGACCAGAATGATAGATACTTCACTAGTATTAACAATTTTATGAATTTTTTTTGAACTTAAGCAGTACAACAGTGTGCGTAATTGCTCGGATCGTTTGTTGGATCTTGTTGCGACAAATTTAGATTGTAGCGTTGTTCACAATGCCAGTCCCTTTGTCAAGGAGGACAAATACCACCCTGCTTTGTTCATTTCCACTCAAAGTTTTACTTGCAAAAGGCACGACCAATTTCTTCCTAATTTAAAGAACAAAGCTTTCAATTTTAAAAGGGCAGACTTTCCATCCCTATACAACTCTCTTATAAATACTGATTGGGGTTTCTTGCGGGAAAATAATGTTGTAAATGACGCTGTTAAATGTTTTTATGATAAATTATACTCTTTGGTGGAGAGTCATGTCCCGCAATATAAACAATATGAACGTTCCTTTCCAGCCTGGTATAACGCTGGAATAATAAAGAATATAAAACTTAAAGAAAGAGCATTGAGCAAACATAGAAAGACTGGCATTGTGGACTTTTTTATTGAATATAAAAGGTTGAGAAAATTAACTAAGCAAGATATCAAAGCCGCATTTAAAGCATACATCTCCATTGTACAGCAAAGTGTTAATAGTGATCCTCGATACTTTTGGTCTTACTTTCATAGTAAGAACAGAAGCTCTAGAATCCCAAATACAATGGCATTCGAGGGGCAAACTTACATAGATTCCCAAGAAATAGTAAATGTTTTTGGTAGGTTTTTTGAAAGTGTATTTTTGCCATCCTCAGTGCCTAGTGATAACCTTTCCCAGCCTAGTTTATGTAGTACAGTTCATATCAACGACGTAACGGATGATGAGATAATGAAAGCATCTAAAAAGCTCAAAAATAAAATGACATCTGGTCCAGATATTATACCTGCTTTTCTAGTTAAGGACTGCATAGGTGTGCTAGTAACCCCTTTAAGAATCCTCTTTAACTTGATGCTGCATTCCCATACATACCCAGATCTGTGGAAGGAGGCAAAAGTCATCCCAGTATTTAAGTCTGGTGAGCGCTCACAGGTGGCGAATTATCGCCCGATATCCATCCTGTGCAATTTCTCCAAGATTTTTGAAACCATTCTGTATGAACGTGTATACGCATCAGTCTGTCGCCAAATTTCACCTTTTCAACATGGCTTTATGAACCAAAGATCAACCATAACAAATCTAATGCATATATCACAGGATATATCAGAAATTCTGGATAAGGGGGGTCAGGTTGATGTGATATATACGGATTTCTCCAAGGCTTTTGACAGATTGGATCATGGGTTATTAATTACGAAGTTGCATAGATTCGGATTTTCTGATGGTCTCCTAGCACTTTTTGCATCATATCTAAATAATCGGCAACAATTTGTTTTTTACAATGGATTTAAGTCTACGAAATATACGGCAACCTCAGGAGTACCTCAAGGGTCTAATCTAGGTCCTCTCCTTTTTCTTTTATTTGTTAACGATCTAGCTGATGAACTTACCTCTGGAAATTTATTATTTGCAGATGATCTCAAGATTTTTTCTCCAATTGACAGTCTGAGTGATTGTGAAAATCTGCAGACTAATTTAACTACTGTTCAAAGATGGTGTGCTGAAAATAGTTTAAATTTAAATGTGTCTAAATGCAAATGTATTACATTTACCCGTAAACTGACTTATATCACTTTCGCATATGCAATAAACCATACAGCACTGTTACGATGTTTCTCTGTCACAGATCTGGGTATAGTGTTTGATTATAAATTTACTTTTGTTGAGCATATTAAAACTAAAGCTAATGAGGCAAGTACGGTTTACGGCTTTATAGTGAGGAATTGTAAAGGATTTGATAATATAAACGCCCTACTCACACTTTACTATGCTTACATACGCTCAAAACTTGAGTACGGTTGTTTAATCTGGTATCCGTTTTACAGTGTCCACAAAATTATAATGGAAAAAGTTCAACGAAGGTTTTTAAAGTATCTAATGTTTAAAATGGACGGAACCTATCCAGTAAGAGGGTTTGACCATGGAGTGCTACTGAGTAGATTCACCATGCAAACCCTGGAGCATAGGAGAGTATTGGCTTCTCTGTCATTCTTGTTCAAATTGATACACGGGAAGATCGATTGTCCTCACTTACTCTCGAAATTGAATTTCTTGGTTCCCAGACTCCAAAGCAGGAACAACTTAACATTTTATTGTACTAGAGCAAAAACCAATATTCTCCTGAGATCTCCGATAACTATAATGTGTAGTAATTTCAATAGAATTGATCGAGAATGTGATATTTTCAATTGTACTCTCAGCTGTTTGCAGTCAGTTGCTTCGGGTGTGTTTGCTGCTATTTAATAATTTTATAGGTTATTATAATATTGTTTATTTTGTGTTATTTTTGTATGAAATTGCTCTGTAAATGGGTAACTCTGTTGGGCAATAAAGCTATTATTATTATTATTATTATTATTATTAAAATTTTCATGTCTGTCAAACAAGTAATTCTTAAACCATTTCGAAGATATATCTAGAACACCATAGCAATCTTTTCTAGACTTAAACATAACTGATGAGAAGAAACTAATGGGTCTTTCCCACGTTTTTTTTTATTTGCTTATCTGAAAGAGTACCTAATCAAAATTAAGCCCCGAAATATTTTTTTCGGATTTTTTTGGTACCGGGAAAGGCCTTAAATTTTTAATTGAAATTCAAAATTCTTAGGATGGTGACGTCACGCGCCTAGATTTTCTATTGGCTGCTTTCTTCAAGTGTTGCCATGTGGTTGCTGATTTCACGAAATTTCTTTACGAATAGAATTTTATTTTATTTATTTAAAAATATATAGCTGGAATGTACCTAATTAACTAAAATTGTGCCATTTCCTAGAACCCATTTACCTGAATTTTCGGTTTTTATTGGGGCGTCTCCTATAATTTTGTGCTAAACACAAAATGTAGCAATTTCGAATTTGCTTGGCCCCAAGGAAATAACATATATACCATTCAATTTTGTTTAAGAGTTTATTGAAATTGATAATGCTTCCAGGTTTATAGGTACAATATACATTACAAATGAAATATACATATAGCTAGGTGTCAATTTATATAATATGTATAGAAATCACCTAATCCTACTTACTTCATTTAAAAAGTTTCAACAACAATAATAAAATATGTCTAACAATGTAGTAGTAACAAAATTATCACATAAAATATCCCTATTCTAGTTACATAATTCTAGAAATATGTTTTTTAAACTGACAAAATTCAAATGAATCTAGATTATATTCATTGTATGTAAGTACCTACACATACATACAAGTGAGATTTTCGTTTTTCGGGCCCAATGGAGTTCTCTGTCAACACAATCTTTACCTATATTCTCAGCTGACAATGCTATTATTTGCTTCATCAGCTGTGACTCCTATTTTAGTTGGGGAGCTGGCGTCAAAAACATGCAAGAGTTTTCGCAAGGCGGATATTTTCAAAATAGGTCGTACTTTAGTGTTAGAATGCTAGTGTACAGTCAGCACTCACAGTTCCGGGACAGCTGGCTCTGGGACGCGGGCAAAGTTGTAATTTCAAGAAGCATCTAAACTGTTTTCTCAAAGCTCAAAATTTATAGAAATTTTGCACATTATCTGTTTGAAGGTCAAAGATAACGTATGTAAATCGTCAGACGTCTAGTTCGTTGCAAAAAGGGGGTCAGACGGCCTCAAAGTTTTTATTTTATGGCATTTTCTTCGGTGTCCTGTCAAAATATATTTTTGCAGGTATTTGATAAATATATTTGAAGAAAATGCCATAAAATAAAAACTTTGAGGACGTCTGACCCCCTTTTTGCAACGAACTAGACGTCTGACAATTTACATACGTTATCTGTGACCTTCAAACAGATAATGTGCAAAATTTCTATAAGTTTTGAGCTTTGAGAAAACAGTTTAGATGCTTCTTAAAATTACAACTTTGCCCGCGTCCCAGAGCCAGCTGTCCCGGAACTGTGAGTGCTGACTGTACACTAACATTCTAACACTAAAGTATGACCTATTTTGAAAATAGCCGCCTTGCGAAAACTCTTGCATGTTTTTGGCGCCACCTCCTGGACTATTTGCTCTTATGTACTTTTGTGTTCTACAGTTCTACACTGAACAGTAGGTACGATGTTGGCTTTCTCTTTTTAGTCTTCAGTGGTACATAACTAAACAGTATTGACTATATTCTGTTTTTGCTTTTGCTAATCTAAAAACCAAAATAAACCTTAGTAGAAGTAGGTAGGAACCTACTTTGGACAATATAGTTCTGATGGTAAAAAATAACACAAAATAAATCTCACCTTTTCAATTTCGAATCTCTGTTCCACAACTTTCAATTTTAACTTTGACTTTGATTTTAACACAATCTTCACTCTTTGAAAATGTTTTATTTACAAAAGCAAAAGGTACCCTTTTAGGTTAGAATTCAATTGTCAAATAAATAGACTTGAATAGAAATCGATAAGGCGCATTTATGTCGATATTTTTTTTCCTTTTCTATCTTGTTCATTCAACTAGAAAAAATAAATGTCGATAGGGAACTGCTTCGGCCGGTAAATCGGGCAACTAAGCGTGTTCTGATTGGTGCAAAATCTGGCGGACTATTTCAAATATTACCATTTCTTTCCTTTAATATCTCCCTCAATATTTTTTTTAAAAATCAACCACATAGCCCTATAAGTATTTTATCGGATAAGCTTCCAAAGTATATGAATGAAATACTTAAATTCAGTTGAGTGGAAAGACCCATTTTTGATATTCAACAACATATAAGGTATTTACAGCCAAAACCCAACTCCAAGTTATAACCCAACCAACTCAGCATCATGAAAAGCCTCCCTAACTGGGATTCTGGGGTTGTCAAACACAGTTTTCGATTTTCTATCAACTTGAGTTGATGCTGATTTGGTCAAAAATTCTAAATCAGATATTTTATTTTTAAGAACACGCCAAAGAAGCCTTAGAGTTATCCAAACTCCAAGAATCCACTAGACAAGTGGAACAACAAGCCAAAATCAAGGAATATGAAGCGCACATCGCACAAATACAAATCGAAGGCAAACGCGCTGAAGCAGAGGAGAAACGGAAATTGCTCCAAGAAGAAACCAGGCAGCATCAAGCCAGAGCTCAATACCAGGATCAATTATCCAGGAAACGTTATGACGATCAATTGTCTCAGCAGCAAAGGATGAACGATGAGAATTTGAGAAGGCAGGAAGAATCAGTGGCCAAACAAGAGGCAATGCGTAAAGCTACAATCGAACATGAGATGGGTCTGAGACATCAAAACGAAATGAAGAAAGTGGAAGCTGAACTGAGGGCTAAAGCTAAAGTTGACAGGGAGAATAGGGATTTGACTTTGGAGCAAATCAGATTGAAGGCTCAGGAAAATCGAGTTACTGTTTTAGAGAGTATCAAGTAAGGTTATCGCATACTTTTTCACCTATTTATTTAATTGTTATTTTTAGAACTGCAGGTACTGTTATTGGAGCTGGAGCTCAAGCAATGCTAACAGATTGGAATAAAGTTCTAACAGCTGCCGGTGGCCTGTCTTTACTGGCTCTAGGTGTATATTCAGCTAAAGGTGGCACCTCTATAACTGCCAGATATATTGAGTCAAGATTAGGTAAAAAGAATATAAATTCTTATTGATTAGAAAAACTATTATATCCTTCATGGTCAAGGTAGGCAGTTTATTTAAATATGGTTAATATGAGTTTAAGGAAACAACTACATAAGTTCTTTCCAATTGGAAATTTGATCAAAATCCCAATCAAAATCCTGATTCAAATGGCCTAACAAATTCGTTAAGGGATAAATGAATAAATAAATAGATAAATAAATCTCTGGATAAAATTTACCGTTCTATAATTCTATTGGTCGGCAGATAACTGGTCGACTAATGGGATCACATATTGCGTTTTTATCTGTCAGATTGCATACCTGACAGTTTATCAGAAGGTGAATAAATCCTAACTGTAATATATTTTCAGGTAAGCCATCTTTAGTAAGAGAAACTTCAAGATTCTCTTTACTTGAAGCAGCCAAACACCCAATCGAAACACTAAAAAGGCTTAAAAACAAAGAAGGCGATGTGTTGCAAGGGGTAGTTTTAGCTCCTAAATTAGAAGAAAGGCTCAGAGACATTGCCATAGCTACGAAAAATACAAAATACAACAAGGGTATGTATAGGAATATTTTAATGCACGGACCACCTGGTACTGGAAAGACTATGTTTACCAAGGTAACGATTTTATGTTCAAAGGTACAGTCCTTATTCAATGTATGTTTTCTCAGAAACTAGCCAAACACTCTGGCATGGACTATGCAATTCTGACAGGAGGTGACATAGCTCCTATGGGTAAAGACGGAGTCACAGCCATTCACAAAGTATTTGATTGGGCAAACAGCTCTAGAAAAGGTCTGTTGCTGTTTATTGACGAAGCCGATGCGTTTTTAAGAAAACGGTCCTCAGAAAATATTTCTGAAGATTTGAGAGCAACTTTGAATGCCTTTTTGTACAGAACTGGAGAGCAAAGTAACAAATTTATGTTGGTTTTGGCATCAAACACACCAGAACAATTTGATTGGGCCGTCAATGACCGTCTCGACGAAATGGTAGAGTTTATTTTGCCTGGATTGGCAGAAAGGGAAAGATTAATTAGATTGTATTTTCAAAAGTTTGTTTTGGAGCCCGCCACAGAAGGAAAAAGGAAAGAATACTTGAAACCAAAGTGTTTTAATATTTTAACTTTTCAAATTTTAGACGGTTGAAGGTAGATAACTTCGACTACAGTGCCCTATGTACCAAGATGGCTGAAATGACAGATGGTATGTCAGGTAGAGAGATTGCTAAGTTAGGCGTGGCCTGGCAGGCAGCTGCATATGCTTCCACAGATGGAGTGTTAACTGAAAAAATGGTTTTGGATATTGTACAGGATCATGTTAGGCAGCATAGACAAAAGGTAACATTAGAGTCAACATTGTTCAGAAAAGTATTTAAATTATTTTCTAATAGGTTGAATGGCAATCTGAACAAGAAAGACGCGAATCCAAAAGCATATACCATTCTGAGAAAGAAGATTCCTATATTCCTGTGCAACCAAAAGCTATAGAATACAAACAACCATTGGCCATCGAATATCCACCAAGTTCAGAAACAAAATCCTCTTCAGAAAGGAGTAGTAGCAAAACTAAAAGTGATCCGTCAAGCAAAAAGAAATAGACTGATAACACTTATTTTTCTAGGTTATATTTAGCATTTAAGTTTTCTCCTTCCCCCAGTGAAAAAGCAGACTTGGCTGGATCTTACATAAGCTTGCTTTTTACACATGTATTTTTAAGGCAGAAAACGTGTAAAAATCTGAAGATACACACAATCTCAAAAGACTAAAGAGTGGCATTTGTATTGTTGTTTTTTTTAAATGGAACTCTTTCTTTAACCCTTCTTAGACGAAATTAGTCCTTCGAAAAAATCTTAATTTACAAAATAAATAAAGATATATTTATTGTGATATTTTTGGGCGCAACTCAGGGAATGTTTGTTCAATTTTGTGTTCCTCCAGCGTCCATTTTTATAGAGTAATTTTCTTGTTATTATTTTGTTATCTCTAAAATTGCAAAGATGTAAAAAAAATCAGAAAATAAATTATTGTAAAACAAGTATGTATGTTTCTAATAGACCTTGAGATAGGCACTGTTTACTGGAGTAATTTTTTTTTGTGTGGTATTTTCAGGACTCGCATCTAGTGAAACGGGCCTGGCTACCTCGAGTTACCCAAGCTGAAGTACTCTTTCCTTCACCTAATCTTGCGAGTGCTTCCACCTCTTTTCCTACCTTTCCTATCCTTTCATCCCTGACGATCTTTCATCACTTGGAGTAACACCCTTCGCTTCCATTCTGAACCTGGAGCGTGACTCGTCTTTCAACACTATCCCCTTTTCTCCTTTATTTTTATCCTTATTTTTAATTTTTCATCCTGACTTGGTTTTCAGTTGACGATGAACATCCTTCATGCAAAGAATTCCAGAGTTAAAATACCTGCCTTATGGCTGCCAGAAATAATTGCAAGGAACTGAGAGGCCGTGTGCACGTTAGGAAATGTAGAGGAAAGAAGGAGGGTTTTGTATTTCGTGCAATTTATTAATTTCAATTCAGTGCAGAGCGCTTTCGATCTAGGCCATCATCAGTGCAACATGGAAGTTACGTGTCATTTAAAAAAACAAAACCGTTAAATTCGCAAGTCATCCAAGAGAAAAAAGAAAAATCATCTAACCAGCCAAAGGGACAACTCTTGCATAGGGGATATTTAAATAATTTGTGATAATAATAGATCAAGAAAATAGTACAAGAAATAAAACAATGTACCTACTGAATACAAGTAAATATTTGGGATTGAATATCTCACATGAGAAAACCCTAGACTAGGCAATTAAAGATCGGAATATACAAGGACACAAGGCAATATCCCTACTAAATGGTGTACTATGGGACCAAAATATCAACAAAACTAACAAGACTAGAATATACATCATAGTCACATATAGTTCAGGGGACTGCCACTAAAAACAGAACCGCAAAAATGCTGGAAGCAACTGAAATGGACTTTTGGAGGAGGTCGGCAGGCAGGTCAAAGATGGAAAGGATAACAAATCTGAGAATAAGGGAGATTATGGACGTAAAACACACAATAGTAGATGATATAAAGGACAAACAGCTGACTTGGTTCGGACATGTACAAAGAATGGCCGATACAAGAATACCCAAGCAAATTATTGAGTGGAAGCCAGGGGGAAGAAGAAGACGCGGCAGACCAAGAAGGAGCTGGAGAGGAGAAGTGGAGTAGACGGAGAAATGAGAGACAGAGGCTTAGAGGAGGATGCCTGGATTGACAGATGAGATGGTTGGAGGTCGGGAATCGGAAGACGTAGAACGTTAAAAACCGATAATTATATATACATATTTTAAGTGATACCACTATTGCTAGATCGGAAATGGTAAGAGCTACAAGGTCGGTTAAATTAGAAAAAAGTTGCCTTTTTTGATGCCCATTCTAGATTTGATTACAGTGTGGCCAAATTCCTTTTACTTTACAGTGTGATTTCTAAAAAGAGCCTAAAATTATTTCATCAATTATTTCGCAAACTATTGATATTCGAGACACAATTTACATTTTTTTTTCACTTTACAACATGGCATATTCAAATTTTAAATCCGACGTTTCGTGATCGAGCTACCATCATCAACTTAATTTTTTTAAATAGGTACGGACCTAAATTTTTGATGTCATTTTTAGAAAGGGAACAAAGGGCGCTTTCTAAAAATTACATGAAAAATCCAGGTCCGTATTTAAAAAAATTTAGTTGATGATGCTAACTCAATCACGAAACGTCGGATTTGAAATTTGAACATGCCATGTTGTAAAAAATTTATAAACCTTTCAAATTTAAATTGTATCTCAAAAATCAATAGTTTTCGAAATAATTGATGAAATATTTTTGGGCATTTTTTAGAAATTACCCTGTGTTTCATAAACTAAAGAGAATTTGGATGCACTGTTAACAAGTCTTGAATGGGCAACAAAGAAGGCAGCTTTTTTCTAATTTAACCGCCCTTGTAGCTCTTACCGTTTCGGATATAGCAATAGTGGTATCACTTAACATATACACCCTGTATAATGTCTATGTCCATACTTCGTTCCAATGTGCACTCCTGTATTTTTACCTGACGAGTGGGTAGAACAACTTGCCAGTTTTCTTTAAAGATTTTTCAATAACCAAAATATTATTCGTGCAGTTATTAAAATGAGATGAAGAAAGTTTTTTCTCGGACTTCCAGGTTTGACTGATGAATGATGATGGCCTAGGCCGGAAGCGCTTTGCACTGAATTGAAAATAAATTGCACGAAATACAAAATCTTCCTTCTTTCTTCTACAGAAATGATTGCAACCGTATAATTAACCAACGAGGTCGAGGAGGTGCACATCCAACAAGTGTGTAATTGACTTTTGAAGTGCCCCAGCGGATCAAGATCCTTTTGGTCCTTTTTCAAGGCCATAGGCAAAAATGTCACGTCTTCCTTTCTACCTTTTGTTAAAGACAATCATTTTATTGCAGTGTCGTCAAAGGAAAAAGCAGATCTCTTTGCCAAACAATTTGCATCCAAATACCCATGATGGAGGACAATGGCAAAGCGCCACAAGTACTGCGATAGAGTGGTTCTTACATGGATAACATTGTAGTATTTAGACCTAGAGCTATTAGGAAAATTCTTCTGCAACTTGGTTGGTTGGTTGGGATGCAGATTGAATAGGCCGGGTTAGGTGCATCCCCAAAACTGCAGCCGTTGGATTATTGTATTGTCCAGTTCGTTTATTTAGTCTGTGAAAAGTTTTGTGACCTTGATTAGATTTAGGAGCCTCTTCAACGTGTGGCGTTTGGTGAGTTTAGAGATAGGGTCTTCTGGCCCTATCTGTCTAAGCCTCATTCGAAGATTGTGTGGGTGGCGGTTTCATCCTCCTCGTCACAAAGTCCACGTATGCGTTCTTCTTGGAGGATGCCCATTGTGTGAAGGTGTCTTCTCAGGCTACAGTGTCCAGTTATTAGCTTGATTTGATTCTTGTTTAGTTGTCGAATCTCTTCAGTAAGTTAGGTGATGGTTGTTGTATCATTAGCTTACTGAGTCTGAGCTTCGGAAGAGTTTTCCAGTGAGTTTGGTGTTGTCTCTGCACCCATTGGTTTATTTTTGTTCTTACCGAAGATTTTGTGGTGCCAATTGCCGGTTCAGGACCAGTATAACTGGTTGCTGATCCTTCTCGTGCCAGAGCATCTGTTTTTCATTTCCTTCAATTCTTTTATGCCCTGGCACCTATTTAAGGGTTACTTTGATGGTCATACCTAAGTTTTTGAGGTTTTCCAAACATTCCCAGACAAGTTTGGATTTCATTTCGCAACTGTTGAGTGCCTTAATCGACGCTTGACTGTCTGAGCAGATAGGTAAGGATATTTTTACCTGCGTATCCCTTCATCAGGTTTTCTCTAAGACTGGAGGCGATGCCGTCGATGGTATATATTTCTGCTTGGAATACAGTAGGTTATTCTCCCAGTGGTTGACTGATGTCGCATCTGGGAGTTTGTCCATATATTATTCCAGCGCCGGTTCCAGTTCCTGTTTTGGAGCCCTTAGTTAACCAGACAATAATATCTTCTTTAGGTGTTACCCCCGTGTTTCCTACTGGAACAATCTCGATGGCCAAGGGATTTTCGAGGGAACCAGAGGGTTTAGCCTTGTTTTTCTTAAGTCTGTTGACCTGAGACCCAAGGTTCCGTATGGGTGTATCATCTTCCTCGTTTTTACTGTGCACAGCTTTCTGCTCCAACGATGAAACCCTTTTTCTGCAAGGCTCGTGCTGGCCTTCAGTGATGTCGTGGTTTGGTCTGTTGGATCTTTCACTGGCTTATTGTTTCAAGAGATGGTTTGGTTGAGGCTGAACCACTGGGATTTTTCTCTACCTCAAACACATGGATTTTTGTTTTTTACTTTTTGTGTTTCCATATTAGTCCCATGAGTGAGGAGGAAAGGGTGGTTAGGTTAGGCTCTGCGGTGCCCCCTACACAGAGCTAGGGCTGAGTACTCCGGGATAACGCGGTTTTACAGAGGCTCCGTTTGCGACGGTGCTCCCCCACCGCCATGCATCCATCGACATGGGTCGCTTGACATCTTGAATTGGGCTGTTTAGGATGCTTCTTGGACCCGAGAAGCGAGTCGCAACAGCTTTCCCTGAGAACCGTCAGATGGGAGCCCCCCGACCGCAGCACAGTATTGCATCTCTCACTCACAAGGGGTTTTGCAACTTGACACTGGAAATCTTGTGGTCCCGACGGCATTCCACCAATTTTCCTAAAAAAAAATGCGCACAAGAACTGGCTTCAGTTCTTTGCAAACGGTTTTCACTCTCATTTAGTCGAGGCGTTTTTCCATCTATCTGGAAATATGCCAGCGCAGCCCATCTCGAAAAAGTGCAAGAAAACTCTTCTTAGCAATGATCGTTCCATCTCGCCTATATCCGTACTTTTGAAAGTAAAGGAAAAGGCAATAAACATGAAACTGATTAAATACCTTGAAGCCAATAAGCTCATCTCTGATAAACAGTGGTTTGGTTCTAAAAGATCAACAGCGGATCTGCTGGCGTACATCAGTCAAATTTGCTGAAAGTTTTAACCTTAACTTTATTCAAATGAAGGGTTATTCTTCACTTTATTTCTTTCGCTCATGGTACCGCTTAGGTAGTATAGACTTTGTCTATTGTGAGCGGACCAACATAAAAAAATACCTATGCATTAAAAAATGAAACAAGCATGGAAATGTGGAACACTTACAATTCCAAATTGTTCTAAAAGAAGTCTACACGAAGACTTGAAGAAGTAGCAAAAGACATAGAATTCTACTATGATACACGTTTGTAGTTCGCCTATAGCCCAAACTGATTAACATATTTTGCCAGATGGCCAAACAACAGCGAAATATAATAGGTCTGTTTCTGCAGAAATCACAAACCAGTCAGAGTGAATTTCATTGGTTGAAACTATTTTCTGTCTTCAACCAATGAAATTCGCTCTGACTGGTTTTTGATTTCTGCAGAAACAAACCTACTATATACTATATGCCAATGATACCAAATTTTCTTTTTGAGATAATCTTCCAGGGAGTAACTGTGGGTTTTGGAAAGGCTCGATAGCGGATAAAGTTAGCCTATGTTTGACCTTACATTTATAACAATGATCAGTTTATCTTGCCCTATCTACTGCTACTAGGATGCCCCAGTTATCTTATCTGATCATTCTCGCTTGGTGCGCAGAATCAAGAAATATCGGTTGAAATTCAAGAAATTATCCTTGGATCAGGCAATAAAAATTCCAATCAACGAAGAAACGAAGAACATTGCAAACCAATCATCTGAAGATGTATCCAATTTTAATATATAACACCAAAAATCTAAATTTTCCAGATTTCTAAGATGTTATTTACTACAAAAACACATTGTTTCAAATATAGTTATTTATTTACATCGTCTACAAAAATTTGATGAATCACTTGATCTTATTAATTGATTGGCAACTGCGAGGACCCGCGATGGATTGGTCAGGGTGGAATTAGACGTGCCTCTGACAGACGAATTTTTAGAACCTTATTTAATGGAGAAAAAATATTAAAAAAAACTGCTTGAAAATTACGGGAAAACAAAGTTTAGTAACAAATTTCATTTTTACAAACGTTGTATTGTCTTGTTGTATGTATGATTTTTCTACTTAATTTCTACAATAATTTACTTTTCAATAAAACATTTCAGAAAATAGGTCACAAAAAATAAATTAAATAAAATCTTAATTAATAAGTATTTAGCGCATAGTATCTACATTCTCATGAGGATCAAATTAACTACAGCCTAATTTGTATTTAGTTCTTATGTAAAAAGGGTAACCTGCGATATGAAAAAAAAAGAATTAAATAAAATCACTTTGACAATCACAAATTAAAAACTGTATCGAATGAAAAATTTCTTCATAAATAAAAATGACGAAATTTTCATTAATAACAAGAAAACAAAAATGAACTTAGAAAACTAGATTTTAAGCCTTGAGCGCTTTCATAAGACCATCTGTAGACATGGATTTGGGTCTTTCAATGGGCAAACCAAGAGCACGGTCCCATACAAGTGCAGCCAAGACACCAAGAGCTCTGGATACTCCAAATAGAACTGTGTAATAGTTCATCTCCTTCAGTCCGTAATACTAAAAAGAATGAGATTCCGTAAGTAAGATATTTAACGTAATAAACTACAATTTTTACCTGAAGAAGTACTCCTGAGTGAGCATCTACATTGGGCCATGGGTTCTTGACTTTTCCGAGATCCAAAAGGATTGGTGGTACTACTTTGTAGACGTCAGAGACAAGCTAAAAAATAAGAAGTATTGTTTTATTTTATGGTTTAATTAAAACAAAGTAAGCATGGAAAAACAATCATCTTGTATTAACGAGTTTTTAACACATAATTTTATATCAAACTTCAAGATTGCCAAAAGTTTTCCTCCCCTAGGTGACAGTTTATAAGCGAAATGAAGACAACTGTGATTAAATCAGATTTCGGGGTAATTTTCAGTAGTAATAGCCCAAGGACATTGATAATTGTCGGAAAAAATTTTATAACAGATTTCAAAAGCTTGTTGCTTGAAAACAGACCGACGCGTCAGCTATAAGCAACAAGCTTGAGAGAGATTTTATAAAATTTTTGAGCATTTATCAATGTTCGAGGGTTATTCGGATAGAAATTTTTTCGACTGCAATGTCTGAGACAATGTCATAGAGTGAAAACAACCCTAGGGCTGTTTTCAATAGTAATATAACTAGTGCAATGGAAATTATTGATAATTTTTGGGAAATTTGCCCAAATGCATTTTTAGTTGAAAAAGAGCACGAGTGCCTTTTTCAGTTAAAAACGCATGAATGCAAATTTGTCGAAAATTATAAATATAAAGAGTGTTAATTTTAGTGGCATGCAGACGCATAAATTAAAAGTTGATGAAAAATTTTCTTGTCTCGACTGGGATTTGAACCCAGGACCCCTACATTTCCAGTGTAATGCTCTACCAACTGAGCCACCGAGACCTGTCTCATTTCTACCCAGAGCATTACACTGGAAATGTAGGGGTCCTGGGTTCAAATCCCAGTCGAGACAAGAAAATTTTTTTTTTGCATGCCACTAAAATTAACACTCTTTAAATTATATAACAGATGATAAAAACTCTAAAAAATTATAAATATATTTCCATTTCACGAGTTGTATTTAATGAGAGAATTTAATAAATCAAAAATTTAAATTTTTTTGGCAAAAAATGTCAAAACACCAGTTTTCGCACCAGTTAGTATGCAATTATCTGATAATTTGCACTAATTACAATCTGATTGGTTCAAATCAACAATCAAAACATGTCAATTTATTGTTGGAATACCAGTTTTGACAGGTGTATGAAATTCTCAATAGTAATATAACTAGTGCACGTAGTGCACGAGTGCCTTTTTCAGTTAAAAACGCATGAGTGCAAATTTGTCGAAAATTATAAATATATTTCCATTGCACGAGTTGTATTTAATGAGAGAATTTCATAAATCAAAAATTTAAATTTTTTGTCAAAAAATGTCAAAACACCAGTTTTTGCACCAGTTAGTATGCAATTATATGTGCGTTTTTATTCTCATCGGTGATCCACCGATGAGTTAGCTATCTTTGTTTAGTGAATGGAAAATGACAATGACCGACATAGAATGGTGGATCCATCGGTAAAATTTGATGAGAATAAAAACGCAGGGTATCTAATAATTTGCACTAGTGCAAATTATCACGTAATTACAATCTGATTGGTTCAAATCAACAATCAAAACATGTCAATTTATTGTTGGAATACCAGTTTTGACAGATGTATGAAATTCTCAGTATAATTTTTACATGATTGGATGATTTGTGTCTAGAGATTAAAGTGTGGTAATGTTACCGCGGTAACGGTAATTTTGGTAAGGTAATTTTGGTAATTTAACCCGACAAATTTCTTTACTGGTAATTTTCAGAAAGACTTCCTGAATGAAATCACATTAGGCGACAATCCTTCTCATGCATTATTCGCCATCTAGTTGTGAATCTGTATAACGCGCTTTCAGGGTTGACATAAACAAATAGTTATTGACCTAACAAGTGCAGAAAGTGGTGCTTTTCTGCCCGCGCCTGCAGTTGGCAAGCTGTCAAGGGTGGAAAAGACATTCTCCGCAAGAGTTAGGTGTAATGTTTTTTCCACGTTTTGTGCATCTTATTAGGAGAATTTATTTCTGTTTTATTTTTGTTTGATTCTCTTTATTTGTTTTTCGTTCTTGGAATTAGGTATTATTATTTGTTTATTGCTATATTTCTACGAGGTTAGGTTTTACAACAAACACTATTATGATAAATAGTTGTTTAGGTTTAGGTAAAAAATCCTGTAAGTATATAATCCTTGAACGTATATGTAGTATATGGTCTCAATTGTTTGTTTCATAAAATATTTCCAAAATTACCAAAATAACCGAAAAATTACCGGTAAATTACCACTGAGAAAGAACAAATGAAAATTACCAGTAAACTTCAATCTCTATTTGTGTCACATGACAATAAATAACAAAATTTAAGTGGCTGTTGGAACTGTCAAAAAAATTTCAACACAAAACGGGTAGTAATATAAGTAATCTATTGGAATAATACAAGGAAATGTAAATGCATATGAACAAAATGGTTTTGGCAAAATTCATAGTGAAAAAAAAAAACATACTTTGAAGAGAGGATCTTCTGGAAGATGTTTCTGAGCAAACTCCCTCTGACACATGTAACGTGGGTCAGTCTTCCTCAAAACAGCATGCCCATAACCAGGTACTACTTGTCCAGACTTCAAAGTCTTCCAGATAAAGTCCTTGAGTTGTTCTTCGGTGTATTTGTCACCAACATTTTGACGGAGCTTTTGCAGCCATACAAGTACTTCTTGGTTGGCTAGACCGTGGAGAGGGCCAGCCAAACCGTTCAAACCAGCAGCGAAAGATAGGTAAGGATCACTGAGAGCGGATCCTACCAAGTGAGTGGTGTGAGCTGATACATTACCGCCTTCGTGATCACTGTGGATGGTGAGGTACAGCCTCATGAGTTCGATGAATTTGGGATCGTCGTAGCCCAACATTTGGGTGAAATTGTAGGACCAATCTTTGGAGGTATCGATAGCACCAATACCTAGTAATAAGAAAAATATAAAATTAGAAAGTATGCAGATGAATCAGGTTTCTAAGAAAAACAAAAAAAAAAATTATAAATTACGTTAGGAATATGGTTCACAAACCAACCTGGTTCAACTTTCTGAAATTTGTTGCATTATAGGCATGTGAACAATACTCCAAGGATGTTCTACATTCTTGAACAGACTCGAAAGATTCCTTATTCAAAATTCAACTGATAGTTACTCACCTGAACCATCCTTGTAGGTATTCCTATAAACGGTTGCAGCAACAACTGGCAATCTAGCAATCAAATCCATGGAATCCTCATAAACGTATTCCCAATATTTGGATTTGTGCACTCCACTTGCATAGGCCTTGGCAAATTTACTTTCACTGTTCAAAACAGTAACTGCCGCCGACAATTGTGACATCGGATGAACATTGCTGGGAATATTATTGAGCAAAGTGACAACGTGTGGAGGTAGTTCGGCACGTTCCGCCCATTCTTTGGAGATGGCCTTGACCTGAGCGTCAGTTGGAATGTCACCAGTGATCAACAGCCAGAAAAGACCTTCAGGTAAGGGTTCACTGCCACCAGGTGCCTTGGGAAGGACTTTTTGGCATTCGGGAATTGACAAACCACGAAAACGGATCCCTTCGTCGGCGTCCAGCACCGAAGGTTCCCATACTAGACCTTTGATACCTCTCATACCCCCGTACATCTGAAAAAGAATTAAGTTTTCGATAAAATAATGTTGTAAATGAGCCATTCTAATTGAATAAATAGTATTGCTATTTTCCAGAAAGTTGTACATCTCTTAAGCTAGAAGAGCAAAGTCAGCAGAATCGAAAATCAATACATGGAACATTAAAGGCTCATTAAGGGCTAATTAGATGCCCTAAGAAGAAATTGTAGGCTCCTTGAATTTTCGCGAAAATGAATGTTCTGCTAGCTTTAACTTAAGCCAGCAGAACATGAGCGAAAAAGTGGCTAAAACAACGAAAGTTGCAATTCGACTTGCACAGACATTAAAGGCTCTCCAATTCCAAATTTCAGGCTCAATTACTTTTTTTTTTGTGAAAATGCAAAAAGCGCGATGCGTGAGTGAGCGCCTCGGCCAAGCATGGCAGAAAAACCTCTCAGACGGTGAAAATCAGTGTTCCGATAGTGCAGGCGAATTAAATGCTATTATAAGAAATTTTAGGCTGCGCCAATTTCATGGCTATTCTGCTGGCTTTAACCTAAGCCACATGAGCGAAAAAGTGGTCAAAACAACGAAAATCGCAATTCCACTTGCACAGGCATTGAAGGCTCATTAAAGGCTCTGGAAATGCACCAATCGTAAATTTCAGGCTCAATTACTTTTTTAATTTAGTGAGTTTGGAAAAGTCTGATTAAAATTACAAAGTACCCAAACTAACCAGGTTATTATTGGTAATTTCAAAAAAAAACACCCAGTCTTCCTCCACAAGTATAAATTCTTTGAAATTAATTTTCAACTCCACTTTGAGTTATGGACTACTTTTTCAATTTATTATTGATAAGTTTAGAAATGTCTGAAATTCGCGGAAACTAGCAGAGCCTAAAATTTCTCATTACAGCATTTAATTAGCCTTTGATGTATTCACAACGACTGCACTATTGGAACACTGATTTTCACTGTCTGATAGGTTTTTCCGCCATGCTCTGCCGACATTACTCAAATATCGCCACTTTTCGCATTTTCACAAAAAAATAATTGAGCCTGAAATTCGCGATTGGTGTATTTCCAGAGCCTTCAATGAGCCTTTATTGTCTGTGCAAGTGGAATTGCAATTTTCGTTATTTTAGCCACTTTTTCGCTCATGTTCTGCTAGCTTAAGTTAAAGCTAGCGCTAGCAGAATAGCAATTTTCGCGAAAATTGGCGGAGCCTAAAATTTCTCATTACAGCATTTAATTAGCCTTTAATGTATTCACTACGACTGCACTATCGGAACACTGATTTTCACCGTCTGAGAGATTTTTCTGCCATGCTTGGCCGACATCACTCACACATCGCGCTTCTTGCATTTTCACAAAAAAAGTAATTGAGCCTGAAATTCACGATTGGTGTATTTTCAGAGCCTTCAATGAGCCTTTATTGTCTGTGCAAGTGGAATTGCAATTTTCGTTATTTTAGCCACTTTTTCGCTCATGTTCTGCTAGCTTAAGTTAAAGCTAGCAGAACAGTCATTTTCGCGAAAAATTAGGGAGCCTTAAATTTCTCATTGGGGCATTTAATTAGCCTTTGATGAGCCTTCAATGTTCCATGTATTGATTTTCGGTTCTGCTGATTTTGCTCTTCCAGCTTAAGAGACGTGAAAGTTGTAGCTCTTAGAAGTATCAGAAACAAAATCACATGTAAGTTTAAATGATACCTCTTACAGCAATTTTTCACTAAGAAGGTGGTTACTTTAGATGAAAATTAGGTAATATGGTAGAATTACAAAATGTATCACTGAAGCTTAAATTTCTCACTTTTGCCAATTGGTCTTGTTATCAGAAATAAAAAATCTTGCCATAATGGGTCCTTTTTGCCTTCTCAGGTTTAACATGCAGATTATTAAAAACAAAAAAGCCAATGTGGGGCTAAAATAGTTTTCTCTTCAAAGCTTGATTACCCTGTATCTGGCTCTGCTTGATTTTCTGCTTTTGTAAAAATTAACTAAGCCACCCATCACCCATTCAATACAGTGCAGTGGTCTGCAAGATAATCAGATTAAGTAACAATTAATTACATACCTATTAAGTTTAATTAAAGACATTGTGAAATTGCAATTCAACCAGATATCCTTGCTGGAAATATTTTAACTAAATAAATTATTCCGCAAAAAGAGAATTCCTAAAAAAACCTATAACGATATATCCAAAAAGTCAACCGCTAAATAACCAAGGTCAATGAAAAATCCTATGATAAAAAACTTAAGTGGTGTGAGCATGCTATGACATCTGCCTATCATTATCAGACTATAGTAGTCACGACATAACATTTCATGACACTGGTTTTCCGGTGCATGCATAAAATCTCTTTTTGCGTCATTTTTGTTATATTCTCTAAAGACCAGCTATTTTTGTCACCTAAACACATGTCAAGTGGCAGAGTGGCTTTCAAAGGGTCTGCTTAATAGGTCAGGGTTTCCTTTTCTTTTTTTTTTTCAATTCAGATTTGAGAAATGCTTCGATATCAAATGGATTCTATTATCTATGTTGATTTAAAGTAAGCAACGTTTGACTCCTAATAATTTCAAGCTTCAAAAACCTAACAGTAGAAGGAATGCATTTTAAAGTTTTTTAAGGAATGACTATAAAATTTCCTTTGATTAAAAAAAAATATATGATAATTTATTATTTACTTATGGAATCAGTAATGATGCCACAACCTTGGTTCGTTTTAGTACCACTATAACAATTAATTCAATAAACCAAAAGCTAGGAAAGTCCAAGTATTTTTTTTGCAAACTAAAGGATAACAGAAAACGTTCATTTAAAAATATTACCTATACAGCAATATATTTTCCATGCTTATCTCTAAGTAGAACTAAGATAAATTGTCACAAGGTATTCAAATAAATAAGTGACGTTTGTTTTAGATAAGACGAAGGTGTTACCATAAATTCAACTTATTCACAACTAATTTTTCCCATATTGTTTGCCTTAGCATTAATGGTGGGTTTATAAAAAAAAATTAACACTTAAACTAATTAGGACAATTAAGTTACAACTAAGAATTTCAACGTGCGCTTACTTATATAGTTCTTAATTCTTAGTTGATAAGTCTTAATTTTCTTTATGAACCGCTACGTTACATATCATAACCTCAACTATTTAAGGTAAATGTTAATTCTTAGTTTAAGAGTTAAATTTTTTTTATAAACCCGCCATTAAATACAACCAGACCACCTACCATGTCAACTGTAACTTCACCAACTTTGGTGTTTCCATGATTTTTGCGGAAATTCTTAATACGTTCCTGTTCTTTGGGTACTTTGGCTGCCAGAACGGCTTTGAGGTCTGTGGAGGCATCGCTGAGCTGTCTGAGGATAACTGAGATTTGGGGTACTAGTTTCTGAAAATAAAAAATTGGCTAAATTTTATGAATAAAAATTTTTTTTTTGTAGGAAATCGAAGCCAATGTAATCCAACTTTTTTTCAATGTAATTTGCGTAACAACTAATTATCTAGATCAATAATTGCTGGTTGTTGCTTCACATAAGTGATTGTTTTTTATACATTTATTATTACCTATGGCTAAAGGATCATTCTAATTCACCCTGGTGGATTAGTTTGTACCATTAGTACCTATTATTATTATCTAATCCAGCTGCAAGCAAATGCACAGGCTGCGTTTAAAATCGTTCTATAATTGATTTCAAAAAAAGTTTCTTTTTAGATCCCAAAAGATTTAAATTAAGTCGATATAAATAAATCAACTTGTTATTTTAACTCTGGCAAAATCGGTTATGTAATGACTTTTCTACGTTTTCAAGCAAGAATTCTAAAAATATCGGCAGTAGGTGTGTACCTTTATAAATAACGAATAATTTTGGAGTTTTTGTGTATGTTTATCATCACAATACACTCTTTTCGATTCAATTTATGAGAATTCCATTCTGATTTTAGTTATTTTGCAGCAATATTATTTCAAATCACACAAAATGCGTAATAAATTCCTTCAGATAATCATATATTATTATAATATTGAACTTTGGATATAGGATTCTCTGCAAAACAAAATAAATTGTACATGTAAAATATGAATGTATGTACCTAATTTGGTTTTATATTTGTTTTGTGACGTTGTTTCTAGTGGATTTCTTGATTTAAATTCTTTTTATGCAACAAAAAACAAAAAAAAAATCGGTTCTGATCCCAGGTTCAGCTTCAGATTTGATTTGTGGCCATCATGAATATCTGATCAAAGACAACATTTTTTCTTTCACATATTTTGTGATCGCCAAGATTTGGTTCTGAAAGAATAAAAGGTTGAGGAACAAGGAACTTGTTCTAAACTATTCTTCAGTCGGTTCGACACACCTATAAATAACGGCATTTAAATATTTTATTCAACCATTACTTTCTTTTATATAATATGAATGAAGGTCATGGTTATAGGAACTTTTAAATTAATGGAATAATTTTTTTGGCGAGTAGCCTATTGAAATATTATCGGGACTTTTTGGCACTTTGTTATCTTTCTATTTATAAAACTTTTCATTCCGTTGTTGGACCTATAAGTGTATGGCTTCCTTTTAGCCTCTACTTGGCTTGTTTTTTGTATTTTTGAATCCTCTGCCCACCACATTGGTCTCCTTTATTTTCCCATAATCTGCAATGCTCACGACTCTCGAGTAGCCTGCCTTCATGTAGTTGTTTGAAGGATAAGCAACACTTACCCAAGCAAAAACGCAACTTTCCTAGAGTAATTACCCATGCGACAGCAGTTGAATAATTTTACTTATAAAGTAAACAAGTTGTGGGTCTGGTAATACCAAACGAAATCCACATACAACTATTTACTTCGAGTTAGTGAAAAAACCTTGAACCAAAGTACATCCATGCAATTGTCACTTGTAATAAGTATTTTTATAGATAAAATACTGTAAACTAAATTATTTCTCTTGCATCATCCAGGGGTACCTAGGTATTCTTATTTGAAAAGCAAATACAATTTTATTTTAATTTGTTTGTGCTGGAGGCCTTTTAATTGTAATTGCTATTGCTGTTCCATTTAACTCTGAACAAAATAATTCCAGGAACATTTTATATAAAATAACTTTTAGATTTAGGACTGATTTGACATGATTTCCATGCTAACTTGAACATAGTTATAGTTTGAGCCAAAGCTTAGGGTTTTGACTTTGGATAATCGCCTCGTTGTTACATTGTCTATTTATAGTTATCATTAAAGGGAATTTTATGTTTAACAAATAAAGGTGAGAATGAAGGTTTTTAGCTTTATTCCCATTGTTTGAGTTTGAAAATACCTTATTGGCACCTGTTCTGTGAAATCAGTGTTCTTTGTGAGTGAAAGTAAAATTTTTCTAGAAAATCACACTATACCTCCTTCAATCGAGATTAAACAGCTGCAAATGACAGAAGAGCCATCTTTGCTTTCATTCTCTGTATCAATTCAAGTTCCTATAAGTTCCTTGAGACAAGCTTCGCTACACATTTAACATGTGCTTTCAAGTCAAGTCTTTTATTGACAAATCCTACTTATTCCCAAGATTCAATAGAGAGTACCTAATTCTTCATCATCATGATTTTTGTTATAAATAAATACATTTATTCATGAATTCTAAGGCGGTACAACTAAAGCGGCACTGGTATCGAATTCTATAATCACAGGACATATTATAGATAAAAGAAATAATAATACCTAACAATCGAACAGGTAACAGTATATGTCGACGTAGATGTATATTATTCTATGTATTAGAAGAAATAGATAGAATAATATACGTCTAAGAGCCAGCGCCGAAAAAATTCTCTGAATTTACTAAAGCTAGTTTTTAGACAGTTGATTACAGTAGTTATGTACATAAATATACCGCGGTCAGTCAAGCGAAACTTGGGACAGGGACCTAGGGAGTGCTGTCAAAGATGTCGAGAAAACTTAGGTAATGCAACGAATTTACTAAGGCTGAAAATTCAATTTCAATTCAATTCAATTTCAATTTATTCAACAATAAATATAGATATACATATAATAACAAAATATAATGTAAATATTTTTTCCTACGAGCGTGCGCAAAGAAGTACTTTTCCGCACGCATTCCAGGGCTCAAAGTTACACTTTTCCGCACTCAGTGCGGATACAGGCCTTATCCGCACTGAGTGCCGAAAAGTAAAAATACTTGTCAAGCAACAATAAGTGCACCTGTCGACTTTGACACATGATGACAAATTTTTTCTCGGTTTCTATATCAGCCAACATCAATACAAACACCAAATATAAATTAACCTTGACACATTGTCAGATTTGTTCTCTATTTATATGCAAGAATCTACAAACTTTATCATCAAATTTAAATGCTTTAAGATGAACAGCTCTGACGAGGATTTTCTGTTATTTTTTTTATTAGGTAATTTTTTGATAAATGTATAGGTTCGCTTCAAGTTAATTAAAAATAATTGAACAAATTATGGGTTTAAAAAAAAAAAAAATCTTGTTACCTACCTGATATGAAGCTCGTAGGAAAAATGTTGTTCCTAACACGTGCGCAAAGTGTCTTTTCCGCACGCAAACACGTATCCGAACTCCGCTTCGCGTCGTTCGTATAACTGTGTTTGCGTGCGGAAAAGTGACACTTTGCGCACTTGTTAGGAAAATAACTATTACCTACGAGCGTGCGGTAAAGTGCATTTTACCGCACGTATTTGCAAATGGAAAGTATCACTTTACCGCATAGTGTGCGGTAAAGTTAACTTTACATTGAGTCGAGTCGAAGCAAGTCGCACGCATTCAATCTCTCCTTTATTTGTGTTAATTTTAATAGAAAAAGTGAAATAAATTGTTTGTGTTTCATGTCATTGTGTCTGGAAAAATGTGAGTTTTTACTCTTATTTAATAATCAACACAAGAACCCAATTTTAATTTGGAAAAACAACCAAAATCATTGTGTTCAGGACTATAAATATTGCTCGTATAGCAGCAAAAAAATTACAAATTTGCCTGCTTCTTATCTTCTTTTCAAGTCAGATTCTTTATCACTGAGAATGGAATTTTGAACCTTTTTTTTTTGCCAACATTCTCTGAACACTGTAGGGGAATATAGTGCAAGGAGAAGAGAGAAACTCAAGTTGTTAGCAATTATGGAATACAATTGTAGTAAATGTAACTTGCTGTGTCTACACAAGCGTAGACCACGAGAAAATAAACATTTTGGTATGTGTTGCGACCTGTGCAAGAGGCCATTCTGCCAAACCTGTGAAAATATTAGTGTCACTGAATCGGACGCCTTGGTACTAAATCAGAGGACAGTTCTTTTTTACTGCTCTCAATGCATAAATATCCAACAGAATATTAAAAGCGAATTTGAATGTCTACATAAAGCTTTCGTAAAATCCAAAGAAGACCTGGATTCAAACAACAAATACAGCGAAGAACTTCTTAATAAAAATGAAGAACTTCAATTGGAGATGGACAAATTACAAAATACTTTGATAGAGAAAAACCGTTTTATCGCTCGCCTTCAGAAGGGTTCAAAGTGTTTTGAGGATATGGCACTGGACCAAGAAAGGCAGTTTGAAGTAAAATTGGAATACCAGTTAAAAATTATCTCCAGTTTGAACGTGGAAATAAAAACATTGAAACAAGACAATCAAGTTAAACAAGATCAGATAGAAGAACATCTACAACTAACCGAGCAGACAAAAAAACAGCTACTCATCGTTGAAGAACTGCATAGGAAAGTTAAATTGTGGGCAAACACATTAGAAGCTGAATGTCAAGCGATGGGCAAAGAATTGAGGGCAGAAAGAATTGAAGGTCAAAACTTGAAAATGACTCTACAAGAACAAAAGTCTATTATAGAAGAGCTTGAAAATAAGCAAAGGCAGCTCAGTAAGGAGATCCAAAATTCAGACCATTCCTCAAAAAATAATTTACAGGAAGAAATAAAATATTTGCAAGATTCAGGTTTTGTTGCACCCATAGATATTAGCTCGGAGCAGCAACGCGAGTCAAACGCAGAACATTCCAAGATGACGTCGACAAGTGAACCGAGAATTTTAATATTGAGCGATCAAAATGGACGACATTTATTTAATTATCTTGCTCGTCAACCATCTTTGCATAGGTTTAAGGTAGAAATGATAATAAAGCCAGGGGCCTTTTTCCATAGTATTGTAGAAGATTTGGAAAATCTGACAAAGAATTTAAATAGTAATGACTATGTTATAATAACTGGTGGTCATAATGATCTCCTAAATGACAAATTTCCTCAAACAAAGTTAATTTGGAATAAACTTAAGCCATGTCTACACACTAATTTTATATTTTTGTCTTGTCCAGTATCGTCAAAATATAAAAACATAAATAAGATTACAGCATTCAATAACAGG